TCCAAGAATGCAGGCATAGAGGATATTTATAAATATCAAGAACTAGAACTTGCTTCAAGGTACATTTTGGAAGAGATTATCACTAAACTGGTAGCTTGGTCACATGACAGTTGTTAGGGTATCACAGTCCCATTTAATGGATCAATGATCTTTCATTATTATTGACTGTGACCAGTAAGTGGCTTCTTTTACTCCCAAAGGTTCTGCTACAAGAGGAGAAATTCTATGAGTCTTTAAAGCAAGAGAGAGAGAAAGAGGGACAGCGTGTGTGTGTGTGTGCGCGTGCGCGTGCATATCTCGTCAGAGCATCCCTTGAAAGCATAAGGATGCTCTGAAACTATCTAAAAAGCAAGATCAAGCCGGCTCTGTGGCACAATGGATAGCACATTGGACTTCTAAAAGGCAAGACCTAGCTGAGAAAAAGACATAAAAAAGTGGCCACTACCTGCCCTGGGCTGGCTTGGTGCTTGTTAGCAGATTACAGATGTCTATGAAATCTTTCAAGAATGATATATTTTGGCATTTCTCATAAGAAGTCAGAATTGCTGGTTGTGCCAACAGTCTACATGAAAGCCCCCTTTAGAGCATGTTTCTTTCTTCAAGTAGTTTCTTTCCTGATTCCATTTAAAAGAGCCAGGGAAATAAAGACAGGTCACCAGTTGTTTTCCATGGCAGCAACCAGACCACCAAGGCAATTGTGGGGATTCTATTTTTTTCTGGTAATCCGGGGGAATCCCCCTTAGGCCAAATGCACGGTGCTGCCCCTCACTCAGCTCTCCTCAGATAGATGGCATCTGTGGAATTTAGGTGCATCCTAAGTGCAACTTGAAGACCTTTCCAACTGGTACTGACCTTATGATCCCCTGTCAGGCAGTCTATTTCAACCTCGGAACAGGCAGCTCCATAAACGAAGTATTCGAAGGGATGGCCTTCGCCTTTCTCCCAGTTTATGTCTGACTCATAACCTCTGGAGGAAACAGAATTCTTGAGTGTTGTTAAGTGATCAAGTCCCCTAATTGCAGACCATGATGACTGAACAGACTCATGAGGAGTTATGCAAACCACAGGAATATAGCTGTACAATGATATGCCAGCACCAAATGTATGTGTGATAAATGCATTGAATAAATAAATATTTAGTTTTTTCTTTTAAAACTTGCTTTGTCTGATAAAAATATCTAACTACTCCTGACTGGTGCCTCCTTACTCCTGGAGGTTAGCTTCTTACTTCATGAATGTCCATCTTACTGCTTTTGGCTAATATTGGATCATCTGATTTGGGGAACTCAACCTTCATTTTACACCAAACGCTATTTCAAAGGTGCGTGCTTCCTGCTTTGTTTATCTTTCTGGCTCCAGAATTTGCCCCTCTGTGTGAAGGATCAGGTCCTATGGTTCTCATTCTTTGTCTCTACTCCGGTCTCCCACCATCAAGCTCCATGGCCTGCTCTGTTCCTAACTAATCTTTAAGAACATCAAACAAATATTAATGGTAAAATAGAAGCATGTGTCAGCAGCTTCCAGAACTCTCTACCCTCTCTCCTCTGCTGCCCTGCAACCTGGAGATGGCCATTAAAAATGCTTCCAATGCCTGTTCCTGACAGGGAGTCAGTGCCCAGGACTCCCACACCAATGGCAAAGTGATCAAACCAGGTAAGGCTCTACATCACTCTGCTGTCAGACAGCTTTCACTCTCCATTAAAATAATTTAATAAACTGTTTTCCAGATTCAGTGAGTTCCTGTTGTTTCACATCTTAATGTAACATGGTTATGGTCCAATTTCTTTTTTGCCAGTCCCGAAGGTGTAAAATGGTACCCCTCTTATGGGTTTAATTTGCATTTCCCCACCTTTGTTTCTTAAGAGGTAGATTGTGTTTTCAACAAAAAGTCAACAACTGCTGAGTATTCCAAGTGCTAACCCCAGAGAGCCTTAAAATACCACCCACTATGATTAGAATCATCAGTTCAGCTGAATTTTGTGTGCCTATTTTCCCTAACAGGAGTCTTTCTGGATACCAGCAATTAAATGTTCTTTATAACCATGGGTAAATAGAAGGTACAAAGTCAACGTTTGCCAAAATTGCAAGGGAACTGAAACTCTTCCTCAAGATACCACTGTCATTCTCCATAGCGATTGGAGGGAGTATTTACCTGAAGTATCCAACAGCTGAAAGGCTAATGCTTTCATCAAAAGCAGTCTGTGCCTGTGAAGGAAGAGCATAGCATGCTGCAACAAGGATGCCCAAAGAAAGAATCACTCAACACTTCAATTTTAATTTTACCCTGTCTGCTAAATAAAACTATCAGCAATAGTAACTAGGAAGGACCCAGATTAATCCATTCCTTTTGGCATTCTCCATTTCTACAGGTGTTTGTGGTTCACACCTTGTAGCTGTTTGTTCAGCACCTATGATGGTAATAAATGCCTGCTGTGGTATGCTACAGGTTGGACTAAAGTCATCAACATATGTTCCACTTAGGAAGAAATTCACTCGGTTATCTGTAGTAGATTTCCAATTCATATGGGACATTTTAGAAAACAATGGTTGGTTGGCTGCTTAATTTTAATATCAGGTTCCTGCCAGTCTATAGAATAAGGGTTCATTTTATAATCCATATTTATGGGAACTATCAATCCTTTCTGGGCACATTTGTTTCAGGTGAGGGGAATAATTTTGCTAAATTGTACCACCATTTACACCAAAAGGTCTCCTGACTCTGCAGTGCAGAGTTGACTACTATGCAGAAAAATCAGGGTTAGGTCCAAGTCCCTAAGTCTAAGAAGAGAGGTCAGAAGTGCATCAATCATTAGAGAAGAAAGTGGGCCGCATGGCTGCATTTCATGGTGGTGGAGAACTACTCCCCATGCTGCACCTCTCTCCAGCTTTCTCCAGTCACACTGACTCAGCCTTTCTGGGCTCAGGTAGCATGGGGCAGAGGACAGAAACAAATATACCCAGGAAGTATAGACAGATCCCATAAATATGAGTTATAAAATGAGTCCTTACTCCACGGAATAGCAGAAGCCATTTCTAAGTGGGATCCTCAAATGTTATTTCCCCCAGACCTGTATTCATAAGGTTGTGAAAACTGACATTCTAGAATAGCCAGCGTGACACACGCTCCCAGTTTTTATGGATATTTGTTCCACAACATCTGGTAGTTAATAACCTATTACTTCGAAAAGTTTGTTAGTTGACTTTAGAACGTGTCTTCTTTTCCAGCTAGATTGTAAGCAGATCAAAGGAAGCAGTTGAATATTTCCGTTCCATTGAGTACCTATTACTGGATGAACAGATACCCACTGGCTTGGTTTCCTATTTCTAAATGAGTTCTTATATGTTTTTTACTTTTACAGAATGGTTCTACTATTGTTTTTCTCTTTTAGGAACAGTAGAACCCAAAGAAGGAGAAAAAACAGATGTACAGTTATTATCCAGACAATCCCTAGGTTCCATAGAATGAAACACTAATTAATTCTGGATTAAAATAGGAGTTCTGGTAGAAGAACTATCTTTTTCTCTAACAGAAAATTTTCCCAGATGCAAGAGTTCCTCCACCACATTGCGATAGGATTTCCACATGCTAAGAGCCAAAGGGCCTTTTATTTATCATTATGCAATGGTGGTACCTTTGCAAATGCCCTTTCTACAGATTTCAATTAATGCATATTGCTCTTGCTCTCCTCCCACTCCTTTTTCTTCTAAAATAAAATACAGAGAACCATTGATTCTCACCCAGTCTTTCCAAGTTCCTTTAGGATTCTTGCTGATGATGGGTTTGAGGCGTTTTAGAAGAGTTTGACAGGCATCCTAGAGATTATTTTTAAATTAAAATTATGATCCTAATTTCATGCAAACACCAAATTCAAAACAACATAATATGTACCATTCCATAGGCTTATCTAAGAGGGAACATGGAAAAATAAGACACCAACCCTGTATGAAGGTGATATGAAAGGTTTCATACAAGTGTGTGCACGTCTGTGTGTGTGTGTGTGTGTGTGTGTGTGTGTGAATGAACTGGCCTTGTAAGCCATGCTAAAAAGTCAGGACTTAATAAAAAACAAATCTCTTGGAAAACCACCAGCCATTGCTTTCAGACATGGCATGGCCACATTTATTTTGTGAGAAAATTCACTCCGGCAGCAGAAAGCTAGAGCAAAAGGCGATGAAGTTGTGGTGGAGAGACCGAAGTCCTGCATCGGCCCTGGGGAGAGGTGGGAGTCTGTCTCAAAGTGATACTAACATAATATGGAAACAGAAAGACAAAGACATTTTTGAGTAGACTTGAAAGGACTTGCTGATTAGAAAAATGTCAGGAGTGAGGAAGAAAAAGAGGTGGCATTCCCAGCACAGGAGAACCACTGGGTGCTGTACCACTGACTGAGGCCAAGATGGGGGAAGGAGATAGGAGCTGGATTAACTCTCAGCATCTTTGGAGCTCCACCCACCCACGTATTTGGCCCTGAGGGAGTTAATGATTTGGACGCCACTGCAGTGACTGTTACCTTTACTGCCAACCCGTTGAGATCTGCCACCACAGAACCTCCAGAGACATTTGCATTAGGGACGGTTTCTGTGCTTGTTCCACGCAGGTGGACATTCGAAATTGGCATTCCTAATTCACGGCTGACCACCTGGATTTTAAGAGAGAGTTTCTTTTAAAACACTGATTAGTGACAGAGCTGTGCACATGCTCACATGGTAACACATGTGTGATGCCCTCATACTCATGACAGGGACAAGGGAGCAGAATCACAAATTCCTCCAGCCACAAAAAGTTTCTCATTTCTAAAAATCCTATAGCTAGTCTGGACCCCAAGTTCTGAACACACTTTCCTGTTCTTTGACTTTCTGGTGATAGTGTCAGAAAGAGGAGGTGAGGCCCTAAGCCAAGGCGGGAAGAAATGCTTCATTCTTGTTTCTATAATCATGATATTGACACCTTTGAGGCTTCTCCTATGACCACACTCTGCAAAATTCTAGCAGAACCTTACCAATGATAGGAGATGTTTATCTCCTATCCACATTTCTGTAGTTGCCCCAGGAAAAGAGTGCTTCTTATGAGAAAGGACAATGACCTTGGAAAAGCAGCAGCATGAACATGTGGGTCACAGGAGATGGTGCCAGTGCCATGTGCCAACACAAGGACTTAACTGGCTGCTTTATTCTTTATTTTTAGCGCTAGAGAGCAAAATCATATTGCTAACTTTAGTTGATCCCAAACTCGACTCTCTCCTGCTAGCAGCGTGGCTTGAAAGTGCTTGCCCACAGCTTCTACAAGGACTCAGGCACACGGAACCCTTCCATGAGGTCTGGCTCTCAGATCCTCCACACACAGTGCATAGGCTTAGAATATCAAAGTCTCTGGTGATCCAATACGGAAAACACCCTCCACTGGGGAATGTCAATTCTCAAGTGACTGAGAGAAAATGTGTATTCAACATCTTTATACTTACAAAAATGTAAATGAAAGCAATAATGAGATACTTTCATTCACTTATCAAATTATCTATAAATTTTCAACAATCTATCACATTCACTGTTGGTTAGGGGTATCATGAGAGGGATACTTTCTGGAAAACAATTTGATAATATGTGTCAAACAATTTAAAATAGCCACACCTGTGACCCAGTAATTCTACTCCCAGAAATCTATGTTAAGAAACAATCAATGATTTGATCACGGTTAATGTACAAAAATATTCACCGAAGTATTCAAACAACTGGGGATGGTTAAACAAACCATATATTTATCCACATACAGCCATGAAAATTCATGATTGTAAAGACGGCTTAATGACAGGAAAAAGGGTTCACACTATATAAAGTGGGTGGAAAAACAGAATACAAAATTATACAAAAGCATGTTGGTGACTTTTTGCGAAAGAAAAAAGACAAGATGTAAAGACCCCCAAATAGTGAGTATTCTGTGTGGTGAAACTGTGTAGGGTCTTTGTTTTTAAAAATTTTCTGCTGCTTCCAAATGTTTTATAATCTATTATATTACTATTATGATTAACAAAAGAGAAACGGTAGCTTAAAATTAACCTAAAATAAGACAGCCAAAAGCAACAGATAAAGTTTGGCTGTAAATATCAAAGGTGATTTATATTAGCGATTGTTTGGAGTCTGTAATACAAAAAGGGAAGGAAATAATCCAAATTCATCAGAATTGACACATTATCTTATTGCCCAAGAAAAATTCAAAAAGGACAATTCAACTGTCACTATATCCAAAGGAAAGCAGCAAATAAGTATATAACTTTCCTTAGCAATAAAACAACTCGAGACTCTTCTGCCACATTCTTTTAGGGGTTTGGTTGCAAAATTGGTTTACCTAGTTTCTGCTAATTGTTTAACAGCGTAAACTGTCAAAGCTCAAATCTCCTATCCTTTATTTTTCTTTGTTTTTACTTTTTGAGACAGGGTCTTGCTGTGCCACCCAGGCTGGAGTACAGTGGTGCAATTGGCTCACTGCAGCTTCGACCTCCCAGGCTCAAGCAATCCTCCCACCTCAGCCTCCCAAGTAGGTGGAAAACAGGCTCATGCCACCATGACTTGCTAATTTAATTTTTTTTTTTTTTTTTGGTAGAGATGGAATCTCCCTTTGTTCCCTGGGCTGGTCTCGAACTCCTTCACTTAAGCAATCCTCTTGCCCCAGTCTCCTGAAATGCTCGAGCCGCCCCACCCAGCTTCCTATCTTGTATTTTATAACAGAAAATATTCATTCATAGTTTTTCTCTCATGAGCAGATCTATAAGCACACACCCAACTCAATCTAGTTATTTGCATTCTTACCTGAATCATTTTAGTGTGGACCCCCTGCCCCATTTCAATTCCACCGTGAGTGACCAGCACAGAGCCGTCAAGATAAATGTGAACCAAGGCAGCAGCCTGAGCAGAAAAGACGAAAAGTATTTCTAAGATCTTTTTGATATTGTCACATATCATGTCAATTAAAACATTTTCCTTGGAAATATTTCCCTCCAAGAATCCCCCACCCCCCAGGGTGGAGTAACATTTTAGGTTTCTTTTTGGGGTGGGGGAAATGGGGGCAGGGACTCTGTTTTAAAATGCAAAGTAATGTATAGACAGGTAGAGGGAGAGGGTGAATAATTGTGTGCACGCATATTATCATAGTTGTAGTAGGCATGCCACAGAAAAATGAAAACGGAAATTCATTTTGTTATAATCCCATAAAAGATGAGATAGATAGACATTAAAATTTTTTTGCTGCAAAATGACTAAGCTCACCCTAAATCATCTTGGCACCGAACTACAGAGCTTTGGAGTTAGACAAGAACTTGGAAGTAATCTTATCTAACTGTATAGCTCCACACAAGGATCCAGAAGGAACAAGACTGCTAACAGCATTAAAGGCTCTTATAATCAGAAACATCCAGTCTCTAAGCTAAACATGTTTTATAATTAACAAGAATGTGCCTTCTTGCATATCTGCCTGTGCTAAACTAAAATATGGGGATATCCCCGAAAATCACAGCAGAAAACAAGAATGGCTTCTTCCCTTTGGGTCTCCAATGTAAGAGCAACATCAGCAGCATATGGTCCTATGGCAGGTGTCTCTCAGTGGTTCCACTGTGGTCCAGGAAAGCCTGCAAGGCAACCTTTACAGCTCTTCAGCAGGGATGTGCTGACCGTATGGGTGTGGTCTGGGTCAGCTAGGTTTCTTAACACCTAAGTTTCTAAGCAGAGTGACATAATAATCTAGGATTTATAATGTCAAGGTCTTCAGAAAATTCTGGTAACAAGCCAATGTCAACTTAATAAACCAAAAATTTTCCTAAGCCTTAATTGCTCACTTAGATTATTTGTAAGCAACCCTGGTCATAAGTGAAAGTTGATGGAGCTGCATGTTAATCAACAGATAAACCCAAGAAAAAGACAGCATTTCCAGATCAATTCTCTGTCCATCAGAAGGGCCTTCCAAGCTGCCTGGGAACTGTGGACAACACTTGGAGAACCGTCTCTTTATTTGTATCCAAAGGTGCACATTACCCCTGTGAATGACAACCAGAAAGCTCTATCATTCCAGATAAGGCAAGTTTGATGGTGAAAATGCACTCCATTTATTTAGTCAGCAGTATTGGGCAAATGGGGACATCAGGATACTCTTTCTCTAAGGACAAAGGCACATATATCCACAGTCCAAAGGAGAACCTTAGACTCTTGAAGAAGGCATATCAGCCATGAAAATGACACCCAAGGACCTTGGGAAGATGCAGCAGAGTGTTTTTTTACAGTTTATTAACTCATGACTCCTGGAAACACCATCTTTTGCTCCTGGACATTCATCCTCAAAATAATAAAGATAAGGAATAGTTTTGCTCTACAGAAAGCCCAGGACTGGCTGCCTGGGGGCCATGCATCAGATGTCAGGTGATGCCAGCTGCAACAAGAGCTCCTGGGCCCCTTTCCATGGCACTTCGTTGTGCTTTGCCAGAATATGAGCCCCCTGAAAGGAAGGATCACGTCCTAAGGAATCTCTCAGAATGCAACATAGCAACACACATGCGGTAGGTGGTCAGTAAATGTTTGGAAAGTAAATTTGCAGTAGCATAGCCATACGATCTGTTTCTTAATCTTGTAGACTCCATATTTGGCCTCCTTGGCTCTGCAAAGTGTGCATGTAATTCGTAGTTGGACTTGGCCCATGTGATTGAACTACAATTCTAGTGGATTGTACTTTTCCTACATTGTGTGACCCTGCTGGTGATAGCATTCAGCCTGTATGTCCAAGACAGCATGTCTATCAGAGATCACTCAGTAATTTGTTCCATGTGGTGCTGCAGTCTCCTTGGGCCATTTGAAATGTCAGATTTGGTTTAGTTAAATGGCACCACTGTACAGCTCATTGTTAGTGCCACAAAATATAATTCTGCAAAGCTTCATCTATAAAATAGGCACAACTGGAAAGCTGGAGCAGATGGTTCTCCAATATAAGTAGAGGACCTAGTCAGGGAAATTTAAACCTTCAAACAACTACTACTGGTATCGATGAGAAGTTAGCTTTAAACCCACAGATTCCCCAAATGTTTCAGCCATTCAGACATTTGAGTTCCTACTCTGTGCCAAGTGCCATAGTAAGGCATTGGACACAGAGGTTGGTTAGGTCCTGTCTGTGCCATTCAGTGTTCACAGTGCAGGAAGTAAGTACACTGATACTGCACTTTCAGCTCCAAACCATAGCAATACAGCAAATCACACAATTTTCGTTGTTTCCCAGTGCGTATAAGTGATGTTTATGCTACACTGTACTCTATTAAGTGTACAATAGCATTATGTCTAAAAAGATTGTACATACTTTAGTTTTAAAATGCTTTGTTAAAAAATGCTAACAGGTCAGGCGCGGTGGCTCATGCCTGTAATCCCAGCACTTTGAGAGGCTGAGGCAGGCAGATCATGAGGTCAGGAGATCGAGACCATCCTGGCTAACATGATGAAACCCTGTCTCTACTAAAAATACAAAAAATTAGCCGGGCGTGGTGGCAGGTGCCTGTAGTCCCAGCTACTCGGGAGGCTGAGGCTGGAGAATGGCATGAACCTGGGAGGCAGAGCTTGCAGTGAGCCAAGATTGCATCACTGCACGCCAGCCTGGGCGACAGAGGGAGACTCCATTTCAAAAATAAATAAATAAAATAAAATAAAATAAAATAAAATAAATAAAAATAAAATAAAATAAAATAAAATAAAATGCTAACAATCATCTGAGCCTTCAGAGAGTCAGAATCTTTTTGCTGGTGGAGGGTCTTGTCTCAATGTTGATGGCTGCTGACTAACCAGGGTGGTGGTTGCTGAAGATTGAGGTAATTGTAACAATTTCTCTTCTTTTCCTTTCTCTTTTCTTTTCTTTTCTTTTTTGGAGATAGGGTCTCACTCTGTCACCCAGACTGGAGTGCAGTGCCTTCCTTAATAAGCTTAATCATTTCTAGCTTTTGATTTCAAGTGAGACTTGCGACTCTTTTTTTCACTTGAACACTTAGAGGCCATTGCAGGGTTATTAAATGAGCTAATTTCAATATCATTGTGTCTCAGGGAATAGGGAGGCCTGAGGAGAGGGAGAGAAATGGGGGAAGGGCCAGTTGGTGGAGCAGTCAGAACACACAAAACATTTATTAAGTTTGCTGTCTTATGTGGATGTGGTTCATGGTGCTCCAAAACAATTACAATAGTAAAATCAAAGATAACTGATCACAGATCACCATAATTATGAAAAAGGTTGAAAAACTGTGAGAATTACCAAAACATGACAGACAGACAAACAGTGAGCACATACTGTTGGAAAAATGGCACCAATGGTTGCCACAAACTTTCAATTTGTAAAAAATGCAGCATCTAGGAAGCGCAATAAAGCAGAGTGCAATAAAACAAGGTATGCCTGCATAACACAGGTGGGGCACGTTTGACCCCCTCAGTTGCTGGGCAGGGACTGCCTCTGCTCAGAGAGGCACTGTGGGACGATGAAGGCGGTGCTGAAGTTGAATCCCTGTTCTGCCATTTACTGGCTGGATGTCCTCGGGCAAGAGAGAGAATCCCTATGGGCTTCAGTTTCTGCTTCTATGAAATAGAGATTCATACCTACCTAATAGAGATGAGACAGGGAATAATCAAGTGGAGATTACAAATTCCCCAGCCCAGGTCCTTCCATGGAGAAAACACTCAAATATCATGTCTAGTTTCCTCCTCTATTTATTTTGTTTTAGAATAGAGTCTTTTAGCATGTGCCTTCCAAGGAGTTTGGTCTCAAATTCCTTGATTCAGCCCTAAGTAAATATTTTCAGCACAGAAGCTGGTCAGTTTCCCAGTTGGCCTTCAAGGATGAAGTTGTACTGTTGGCTGTTGTTGCCTAGTTTGTCCTCAGCTGAGCTGAATCCCACTTCAGTTCCTACCAAAAGGTGTTTTGGGGAGACCACGTGGTGCAACTAGAAAGCCCAGCTTTCAGAACCACTCAGACCTGAGTTCTAGCCCCAGCCCTACCTCTACCAGCTGCAGGACCTTGAGCCAGTTATTTAAACCCTCTAAGCCAAGATTTTTTTTTTAATCCCTAAAATGAGGATACAAATCTTCTAGGTTGTCCCAAGGTTAAATGAAATACCTAAAAGTACTTATAACATCATAGCACTCAATAATTTATCACTATGATTTTTTTTTTTCTTTCTTGGAGAGATGGGGCCTCACTATGGTCAGGCTGGTTTCAAACTTCTGGCCTCAAGCAGTCCTCCTGTCTTGGCCTCCCAAAGTGTTGGGATTACAAGCGTGAGCCACTGCACCTGGCTATATTTTTAAAATCTACTTTTTGAGAAAATTCTGATGAGGAAAATGGGTGAGACCTGGTCTATGGTAGAGGCCAGATGTAAAGTAATGGCAGCCATCAAATAGAGGCAGTGTGCCATGTTTACCCATGGCCAAACATGAGAGGATTTCCAGAGGCTCTGTGAACAATGGGGGCTGTTTTCCCTGATGATCCTGACAGGTCTGCTCAAGGACAAATGGCCCCGACTGACCTCATTGGTAGCTGCCAGCTCATCAGTTTACCCAAAAATTCTATACCAAGACCCAATGCTTATAAACCCTTTTCTCAATGGTAGTTTTTTCTCTCTTCTTTTGTAATAACCTCATTTTTGCTTTTATTTCTCAACCACAGTATCTTGACTGTCTCCAACATCTGAGTAAATTGCATGCAGACGACTACATGACTCTGTGTTATTTTTGCCATCACAAACAGGCAAGGAATGAGAAGGCTTAATAAGATCATCATTTGTTGTAATACTTCTCTGACCTACCACCTGCCTACGATCAAAGCTGCATGCAAATGTTCTAAGGCTCACACCAAAGCTCAACTAGGACAGTTAGGTGAATGGATGGATATGGGATGGGGAAAGGACTTTCCTACCCACTTTTCCTGGCCTCTTCTGATCCCTTAACACACCACATCCACACTAACGCCCCTCTCAAAGCTCCCCTCCCCTGCCATTTATTCCTATTTTGTGATCACTCAACACAGCTGCATGCCTTCTTTGCGGCTCCAACCAAGGAGTAAATTCTGCAAAGAGGAGTGACAATTGTGAGGGTCCTGCCAGTTTACCTATATATATATGGATGTGTGTATGTAAGAAAATAGATAATAGGGGTTCCCCACTGCCATACCATGAGCTAGAATGCTGCAGTCCTTCACCAGCCATTAGGGATAAGTTTTATTCATTCTTGAGAAAGAATGAAGTCAAGAAAGAAGAGATAGAAACATCAAGTGGGATTCAGCAACCAAGCAAGGGGATTTCTTTAATCAATGAAAGAAATTAAACTTCAAGAGCAGATTCCCAGTCCTCCCTTTCACAGTTTTAAAAGCTACAAGGTGAATAAACTTCAAAAATTCTATTTAAAAAGTGATTTATTTTTCCGAATTTAATTTATTCCAACCCACCCACAAGGAGTGGAGCATCCCAAACCTTGCAGCTCCTCATTCCTATTTCATGGTCCAGCGACACAGAATTGTGGACACTGGAAGAGGAGTCTTGGAGGTCATTGGTCCCACCCTCCTGCTTTCCACATGAGCAATCTGAGCCCAGAACAAATGGACTCAGCTGCCATTTGCCAACTCCTCTTGCCAGGGCCAGGAGTAAACCTCAGTCTCCCAATTTCCAGCAAGAATGTTTTTCACCAACCATGGGCATGTGAGCAGAGGAGCTCTGGTCTCCCCTGGAGTAAAGCTAGCTTAATTACTTTGACTTTGGTGGCTTTTGTGAAATTTAACAACTGGGCATTGCAAGCATATGGCTAATACGACTAAAGGAAAAGTTTCCTCAACACCTCTTGCTTTGTCAGAGCTGCTTCCGGGCATCATCCTCATGTGTGTTTGAAGAACTGACCTGACCAGCAGCGCGTGAGCCAAGGCCAACAGGATACTTCAGGGGGACCATGGCCAGTCCTTTCTTCTTCCAGTAATTTTCCGCATTGAATTTTTCCACAGCCGCTTTCCTCAAGGAGTAGGAAGACACGGCCATACATTCTCTCCAACACTGGATCAGGTTCTTGGCATTGATCTCTTGTTTGTAGGGTGTTTGATCAATTTCCTTGTACATGTTTATCATTCGCACCTATGAAAGAAAAGGAGATTAAAGCGGGGAGGGGAAACCCAGCAGACATAGGCTCATCCATTCACCATCCTCCTGGTCAAATTCTGCTCATCCTATAAGGTCCAAGCCGAGTTCTACTTAGTCCTTGTGGAAGCCTTTCCTAATGCACAACATTGTCCTCTTCCTCTACTCAGAGCTTCTATCAAACATGCTAGCATTTACTTATGTGCTTTCTATGCTACTCTTGTGCAACTTTAAAGGATGGAACCCTTCCCTTACGTTGCAATATAACTCGACCACAGTCCGTGTACACTGTAGACTCTTAATTCTAGTTGCATTTGGAATATCTGCTGAAAGATCATCTAGGCCACATGATTTGGATTACTCCCATGCTATGTTGAAAGATAAGACTACTCACCTCCAAAACAGGCAAACATGAAAGTTTGTTTAAATATGACCAATATCTAGGATGAAGAACAAATTAAAAGATTCTATCCTAGGATGTCTGAAGCACTGAGTAGAATTCTTCCTGTATTCCCAGAATTGGCGATTAAGACCCTCAGCTAATAATAAAAGGTGCCAAGTATGTCACATTCTCAGCTGAGAAAACTCTTAGCACTTGTGGCCAGCCCCTTCCCTAAGCTGACAGAGCCATCACAGACACACTCTCCCCACCCTCCTAAGCAAATTCTCAGATCATTGTAAGAGAAAGACTGGAAATTAATGAGCTGTCCCACTTGGGGAAAAGTGGTGTTTTTAAGAGGCTGTTTCCTGCTCTAACTTCCCTGGGGATGAAGGGAGGTCTTCCTGTAATTCTCCTCCATAGTGCTACCAAATGTGGCAGGACATCAGGAGAGAGTCTAGTGGGATGGCCAGGAAGGGAGGAGCAAGGCCTCCCACACATTCGAGAGAAGCAAAGAAGGTGGCTATTATTGGGTGAAAGATGGTAGATGAATTGGGATGTGGGGCCTTCTAAAGATTGCTGGGGCATGGGCAGAGAGGTGTGGTCACCAGTGGAATGCTGTGCCAGCCGCCCCCTGATGGTCCAAGGACTGCCAATTTTTGGAAGAGCTGGTAGAAATGGAGCCATAGACAATGTATTTGAAAAGTGACTACATCTGACCAAAGAGAGGACTGTGAGCTTGCTGGGAGAAGTCACAGAGGGAGAAACTGGCTGTTTTCCCTGGTCCTTCTCCTCTTCCTCCTCGCATCAGCATCACAGCAGAAGGCACAGGGGAGGAGAAGGGGCTGACAGAGAGCTCACCCCATCTCCCCACACTAATTCCACTCCAGGATCTGGGAAGAGGAGCCAGGCAGGTGAAAGTCCTTGTCGATAAACGAAGTTGGGGCTGAGACTGAAAGAATCGAAAGGAGAACCTGGATCATCATGGCAGACAGGAGGCAGGACTAGATTGCAGCTCTGGACAGAGCAGCTTGTGGAAGTTCGCCTTGTGAATTTTAGCTCCAGATCAACTGCAAGAACAAAGCAGTAATCCCGAGAGGACTCACAAACCCTCTGAAGGAAGTGGACTACTTCTGCAGGACTCAAATACTGTGAGTGCCCCAGCTGTGGAAGAGGGAAAGGGAGATTCTCCTCTCCCGAACATACACCTCCACTGGAGAAGCTGAAGGTCTGTTTGCAGGAGAAGATTCTGACTTTACCTGGAGCTGAGCCAATTTAGAGAGCTGAGCAAAATGCAGATAGAGGAAGCAGCAGAAAGGCCCTAGGAGCTTGCTGTGTCCCCTAGCAGGCCATTCCTGCCTAACAACACAGGGATCCATCAGGGGGTGGGGGTGACCAGAGGAGCAAGGGGTGAAACTCCACAGGGAGAAAGAAATCTCTAGCTGAACTTTGTAACGATTTGAATGAGGCAAGAAGCCTCCTGGCCAGAGCTCGGTGGGAGGGCAACAATCTGGTGTGCAGACTCCACAGGCCGGGGAAGAACCAAGCCCTTTTCTCTGGCAGCTGGGAGGGATGTAGCCCAGGGCAAGTTTTCAAGCCCATCACACCCTCTGCCTGGAAACACACTCAGGGCTGCTGGGGGGTGCACGGTGGGAGTGAGACCAACCCTTCAGTTTGTATGGGAGCTGGGAGAGGCCTGTAACTGCTGGCTTTCCCTCACTTCCCTAACAACCTGCATGACTCAGCAGAGGCAGCCATAATTCTCCTAGGTACACAACTCCAGTGACCTGGGAATCTCTCCCCTAACCCACACAGCAGCCACGGCAAGACCCACCCAAGGAGAGTGTGAGCTCAGATATGCCTAGCACTGCCCCCACCTGATGGTCCTTCCCTATCCACCCTGGTAGTGGAAAACAAAGGCCATTTAATCTTGGGAGTTCTACGGCCCCACCTACCACCAGACCCTCTCCACATTACTACAGCTGATGCTTTCTGGAAAGTGCCACCTCCTAGCAGGAGGCCAACCAGTACAAAAATAGAGCATAAACCACCAAAGCTAAGGACCCTCATGGAGTCCACTGCACCCTCCATCACCTCCACCAGAACAGGCAGTGGTATCCGTGGCAGAGAGACCCATAGATGGTTCACATCACAGGACTCTGTGCAGACAACTCTCAGTACCAGCCTGGAGCTGGGTAGACTTGCTGGGTGGCTAGACCCAGAAGAAAGACAAAACTCACTGCAGTTCAGCTCACAGCCACATCTATAGGGAAAGGGGGAGAGTACTACATCAAGGCAACATTCCATGGGACAAAAGAATCTGAACAACAGCCTTCAGCCCTAAACTTCCCTCTGACAGAGTCTACCCAAATGAGATGGAACCAGAAAACCAACCCTGGTAACATGACAAAACAAGGCTCTTCAACATCTCCAAAAAATCACACTAGTTCACCAGCAATGGATCCAAACCAAGAAGAAATCTCTGATTTACCTGAAAAAGAATTCAGGAGGTTAGTTACTAAACTAACCAGGGAGGAACAAGAGAAAGGCAAAGCCCAATACAAAGAAATCAAAAAATGATACAAGAAGTGAGGGAGAAATATTCAAGGAAATAAATAGCTTAAAGAAAAAACAAAAATTCAGGAAACTTTGGACACACTTTTAGAAATGCAAAACGCTCTGGAAAGTCTCAGTAATAGAACTGAACAAGTAGAAGAAAGAAATTCAGAGCTCAAAGACAAGGTCTTTGAATTAACCCAGTCCAACAAAGACAAAGAGAAAAGAATAGAAAAATATGAACAAAGTCTCCAGGAAGTCTGGGATTATGTTAAACAACCAAACTTAAGAATAATCAGTGTTGCTAGGAAAGTAGATAATTCTAAAAGCTTGGAAGACATATTCGGGGGGATAATCAAGGAAAACTTCCCCAGCCTTGCTAGAGACCTAGACATCCAAATACAAGAAGCACAAAGAACACCTCAAAATTCATCTCAAAAAGATCTTCGCCTAGGCACATTGTCATCAGGTTATCCAAAGTTAGGACAAAGGAAAGAATCTTAAGAGCTGTGAGGCAAAAGCACCAGGTAACCTCTAAAGGAAAAACTCTCAGATTAACAGCAGATTTCTCAGCAGAAACCCTACAAACTAGAATGGATTGGGGCCCTATCTTCAGCCTCCTCAAACAAAACAATTATCAGCCAAGAATTCTGTATCCAGTGGAACTAAGCATCATATATGAAGGAAAGATACAGTTGCTTTCAGACAAACAAATGCTGAGAGAATTCACCATTACCAAGCCACCACTGCAAGAACTGCTAAAAGGAGCTCTAAATCTTGAAACAAATCCTGGAAACACATCAAAACAGAACTTCTTTAAAGCATAAATCACACAGGACCTATAAAACAGAAATACATGTTAAAAAGCAAAAACAAACAAACAAAAGTACACAGGCAACAAAAAGCATGATGAATGCAACAGTACCTCTCATTTCAATACTAACATTGACTATAAATGGCCTAAATTCTCCACTTAAAAGATACAGAACCGCAGAATAGATAAGAACTCACTAACCATCTAGTACCTTCAGAAGATTCACCTAACACATAAGGACTCATATGAACTTAAAGTAAGGGGGTGGAAAAAGGCAATTCATACAAATGGACACCAAAAGTGAGCAGGAGTAACTATTCTTATATCAGACAAAACAAATTTTAAAGCAAGAGTTAAAAGAGACAAATAGGGACATTATATAATGGTAAAAGGCCTTGTCCAACAGGAAAGTATCACAATCTTAAACATATACACACCTAACATTGGAGTTCCCAAATTTATAAAACAATTACTAATAGATCTAAGAAATGAGATAGACAGCAATACAGTAATAGTGCGGAACTGCAATACTCCACTGACAGGACTAGACAGGTCATCAAGACAGAAAGTCAACAAAGAAACAATGTATTTAAACTCTACCTTGGAACAAATGGACTAAACAGATATATACAGAACATTCCCTCTAACAACTGCAGAATATACATTCTGTTCAACAGCACATGGAACTTTTTCCAAGATAGACCATATGATAGGCCATAAAACAAGCTCAATACATTTAAGAAAACTGAAATTATATCAAGCACTCTCTCAGACCACAGTGGAATAAAACTGGAAATGAGCTCCAAAAGGAATCTTCAAAACCATGCAAATACATGTAAATTAAATAACCTGCTCCTGAATGAGCATTGGACCAAAAACGAAATCAAATGGAAATTAAAATATTCTTCGAACTAAATGACAATAGTGACACAACCTATCAAAACCTCTGAGATACAGCAAAGGCGGTGCTAAGAGGAAAGTTCATAGCCCTAAATGCCTATGTCAAAAAGACTGAAAGAGCACAAACTGACATGCTAAGGTCACACCTCAAGGAACTAGAGAAACAAGAACAAACTAAATCCAAACCCAGCAGAAGAAAGGAAATTACCGAGATCAGAGCAGAACTAAATGAAACTGGAAAAAAAAATACAAAAGATTAATGAAACAAAAATCTGGTTCTTTGAAAAGATAAATAAAATTGATAGACCATTAGCAAGATTAACTAAGAAGACTGAAAATCCAAATAACCTCACTAAGAAACAAACACAGGAGATATTACAACTGACAACACTGAAATACAAGAGATCATTCACAGCTACTATGAGCACCTTTACACACATAAACTAGCAAACCTAGAAGAGATGGATAAATTCCTGGAAATATACACCCCCTAGTTTTAATCAGGAAGAATTAGATACCCTTAACAGACCAATAACAAGAGCGAGATTGAAATGGTAATTTAAAAATTACCAACAACAAAAAGTCCAGGACCAGACGGATTCACAGCAGAATTCCACCAGACATTTGAAGAAGAATTGGTACCAAACCTTTTGACACTATTTCACAAGATAAAGAAGGAACCTTAACTAAATTCATTTTATGAAGCCAGCATCACCCTAATAACAAAACCAGGAAAGGACATAACCAAAAAAGAAAACTACAGACCAATACCCTTGATGAACATTGATGCTAAAATCCTTAACAAAATACTAGCTAACCGAATCCAACAACATATCAAAAGATAACCCACCATGGTCAAGAGGGATTCATACCAGGGATCCAGGGATGCAGGGATGGTTTAACATACGCAAGTCAATAAATCTGATACACTACACAAAAATAATTAAAAACAAATATCACATGATCATCTCAATGCAGAAAAAGCATTTAACAAAATCCAGCATCTCTTTATGATAAAAACTCTCAGCAAAATCAGCATAAAAAGGACACGCCTTAATGTAATAAAAGCCATCTATGACAAGCACACAGCCAACATAATACTGAATGGGGAAAGGTTGAAGGCATTCCCTCTGAGAACGGGAGCAAGACAAGGATGCCCACTCTAACCACTCGTCTTCGACATAGTACTGGAAGTCCTAATCTGAGCAATCAGACAAGAGAAAGAAATAAAGGGCATCCAAATCGGCAAAGAGGAAGTCAAACTGTCACTGTTTGCTGGCGATATGATTCATTTACCTTGAAAACCCTAAGGACTCCTCTACAAGGCTCCTAGAACTGATAAAAGAATTCAGCAAAGTTTCTGGATACAAGATTAATGTACACAAATCAGAAGTTCTTCTGTATACCAATGGTGAGCAAGCAGAGAATCAAATCAAGAACACAACCCCTTTTACAATAGTTGCAAATAATAATAATAAAATACTTAGGAATATACCTAATCAAGGAGTTGAGAGACCTCTACAAGGAAAACTACAAAACACTGCTGAAAGAAATCACAGATGACACAAACAAATGGAAACACATCCCACGCTCATGGATGGGTAGAATCAATATTGTGAAAATGACCATATTGAAAAGCAATCTACAAATTCAAAGCAATTCCCATCAAAATACCATCATCATTCTTCACAGAATTAGAAAAAACAATTCTAAAGTTCATAAGAAACCAAAAAAAAGCCTGCATAGCTAAAGTAAAACTAAGCAAAGTGAACAAATCTGGAGGCATCACACTACCTGATTTCAAACTATACTAGAAGGCCATAGTCACCGAAACAGTGTAGTACTGGTATAAAAATAGGCACACAGACCAGTGGAACAGAATAGAGAACCCAGAAATAAACCCAAATACTTCCACCCAACTGATCTTTGACAAAGCAAACAAAAGAATAACGTGGGGAAAGGGCACCCTTTTCAACAAATGGTGCTGGGATAATTGGCTAGCCATGTGTAGTGAGAATGAAACTGGATCCTCATCTGTGACCTTATAAAAAATTAACTCAAGATGGATTAAGGACTTAAACCTAAGACCTGAAACTATTAAAATTCTAGAAGAGAACATTGGAAAAACCCTTTTGGACATTGGCTTAGGCAAGGATTTCATGACCAAGAACCCAAAAGCAAATGCAATAAAAACACAGATAAATAGCTGGGAGCTAAATAAACTAAAGAGCTTTTTGCATGGCAAAAGGAACAGTCACAGAGTGGGAGAAAATCTTCACAACCTGCATATCTGACAAAGGACTAATATCCAGAACCTACAACAAACTCAAACAAATCAGTAAGAAAAAACAAACAATCCCATCAAAAAGTGAGCTAAGGACATGAATAGACAATTTGCAATAGAAGATATACAAATGGCCAACAAACATATAAAAAAATGCTCAATGTCACCAATAATCAGGGCAATGCAAACCGAAACCACAATGTGATACCACCTTACTCTTGCAAGAATGTCCATAATCAAAAAATCAAAAAACTGTACATGTTGGCTTCAATGCAGTAACAGGGAACACTTCTGCACTGCTGGTGGGAATGTAAACTAGTACTATGGAAAACAGTGTGGAGATTCCTTAAAGAACTAAAAGTGGAACTACCACTTGATCCAGCAATCCCACTACTGGGTATCCACCCAGAGGAAAAGAAGTCATTATTTGAAAAAGATACTTGCACGCACATGTTTATAGCAACACGATTCACAATAACAAAATCATGGAATCAACCCAAATGCCCACCAATCAATGAGTGGATACAGAAACTGTGGTGTGTATGTATAAGTATATATGTGTGTATGATGGAATACTACACAGCCATAAAAAAGGAATGAATTAACAGCATTTGCAGTGACCTGAATGAGACTAGAGACTATTATTCTAAGCAAGTAATTCAGGAATGGAAAACCAAACATCATATGTTCTCTCTGATATGTGGAAGCTAAGCTCTGAGGACACAAAGACAATGAACTTTGGGGACTTGGGGGGAAGAGTGGGAGGGGAGCGAGGGATAAAAGACTACAAATATGGTGCAGTGTATACTGATCGGGTGATGGGTGCACCCAAATCTCACAATTCACCACTAAAGAACTTACTCATGTAACCAAATACCACCTGTACCCCAATAACTTATGGAAATAAATAAAAATAAAAGCCAATCTATTAATGTTACAAAGGAAAAAAAAGAACAAAAAGGAGATCAGTTTAGCAACTGAAATGACCAACTTTTTCACAGCTGGCTGAGATGTTCGGGAAGCGGGGAACAACAGCCTTGATGGAATTGTGGGTAGCAGTTATACCCCCAGCCAAGGGAAGCTTCTCACCAGCCAGGGGAGAATGCAGTGCTCACTCCTCAGGATCTTCTGCTTCGGGATTTTGGAGCAGGCGTCTGAGTAAGGGGGTGAGGATTGCTGAACTTTGGAGTCTGGGTTCTGCCTTAACCAGTTAGCTGGGGGACCTGGCACAAATCATTTACCCCTCTGGGTCTCAAATTCCTCAACCTGAATGGCCCCCATTCTCTGACATTCCACATGTTTTGTCTGTGAAGCTAATTTAGCATTACCTTCTCAGGGGATAGTCCACATTTGGCTGCAACTTCCATGATACAAGATTCGGTGATCAGCCCTGCCTGAGGAAAGCCAAACCCACGAAAAGCCGTGTTGGATGGAAGGTTGGTTCTGCATGCCCAACCCCTGCAGCGGAGGTTGGGAAACTTGTAAGCATTGTCCATTTTCAGAAGTCCCATTTCTATCACCTGGAGAAATCCAGAGTTGATGTGATTAAGACCTTCTGAACCTGTTTCACCATCCTACGACCTCATACCAAAACCAGGCTGGGAATGGCAGCCCTCTTTACATCTCATCAAACATGCTAAAATATTCCCATGCCCCCAATTAAACACATTTTTGCTATAAAATAATTTTTAAGTATTTGAATAATGTTTCCTTTGAGAGCATTATTATTTTTGTATTTTGGAGTTAATGCATTTTTTTTTTTTTTTTTTTTGAGATGGAGTCTCACTCTGTTGCCCAGGCTGGAGTGCAGTGGCGTGATTTCCATTCACTGCAAGCTCCACCTCCAGGGTTCACACCATTTTTCTGCCTCAGCCTCCCGAGTAGCTGGGATTACAGGCACCCACCACTATGCCCAGGTAATTTTTTGTATTTTAGTAGAGACGGGGTTTCACCATGTTAGCCAGCATGGTCTCAATCTCCTGACCCCGTGATCCACCTGCCTCAGCCTCCCAAAGTGCTGGGATTACAGGCGTGAGCCACCACGCCTGGCCTTAATGCATTTTTTAAGATTTCAAACATACAAAGGCCTTTGATATGTTCACAGGCCCCAAGCACTGGGTTTATATAATGTAATGATTATAATATCCTAGAAGACAGAGAAAACAGAAAAAAATGTGTTGGCATTGAGTCTAATGTGTTGGTTCTTAATCGTGAGCAATCTTTTCCCTGCTCTGGGGGACATTTCGCAATGTCTGGAGACATTTTTCATTGTTAACATTTTAGTTGAAACTCTTTTTTGTTTTGAGATGGAGTTTCACTTTTGTTACCCAGGATGGAGTGCAATGGCGCAATCTGGGCTCACTGCAACCTCTGCCTCCGGGGTTCAAGTGATTCTCCTGCCTCAGCCTCCCAAATAGCTGGGATTACAGGTGTGTGCCACCATAACCAGCTAATTTTGTATTTTTAGTAGAAACAGGATTTCACCACGTGGTCAGGCTGGTCTCGAACTCCTGGCCTCAAGTGATCCATCCACCTCAGCCTCCCATAGTGCTGGGGTTACAGGCGTGAGCCACCGTGCCCGGCTTGGTTGAAACATTTTTATTTGGGGTTGGGGTGGACATAGTGGCTCACACCTGTAATCTCAGCACGATGGGAGGATTGTTTGAGCCTAGTAGTTTGAGATCAGCTCTGGCAACATAGTGAGACCCCATCTCTATAAAATAATAATTAAAAAAAATTAGCTAGGCATGGCGGCATGTACCTGCAGTCCCAGCTACCTGGGAGGCTGAGGTAGGAGGATCACTTGAGCCACTGTACTACAGCCTGGGCAACAGAGGGAGTCTCTGTCTCAAAAAGTAAAAAGTAAAAAATAAAAAGACTAGAGGGTGGTAATGCCACTGACACCTACTAAGTAGAGGCCAAAGATGGTACAATGAGCAGGATAGTCCCCACCATAAAGAGCTACACACTTCAAAATGTCAGTAGGGCCAAAGCTGAGAAAGCTTGGTCTCATGTGTGAATCTGGGAAAAGAGTTCTAAGTTTGGGAAGCCGGGGGTGAACACAGATACAACTCAGCCAGCATCTCTGGGCTGACACCAGGAAGTAACACATGGCTATCCCTGCAAGAATGGTCATTATGCCTTTATAATCAAATATTACTTAACTATTGGACATTTTCTAAGTTAAATCATTTTATGTAACACTCTTTCAGGAATGTGAACTTGTTCCTTAAAACACTTACCAATAATGATTCATCCAAAGAGTTGCCTGCATTGCTATAATGCTCCATGTCCAGGGCCAAGATTCTGCCATCATTCATGAATCCAGCCTGGGGAAGAGAACCGACATCGAATGCTGGAACAGTGGCCAAGTCTCTCTAAATTTTGTCATTTGTGAACCCTCCACACATAGGGGAAAAGCGTCATGACATTGGATTTGGCAGTGATTTCTTGGATAATATATAACTAGCTCTGTGATCTTAGGCAAGCTATGTAACCACACAGGCGATTTGTGAAATGGAAGTAAATAAGGCAACACATAGAAAATTATAGGCAAGTGCCTGAAACATAGCAAGTACTCTAAATATAATTAATATTACTACCATAAATAGTATTCATATCACCTTTCCTCACACTACTCTCCGTCAGAAAACACTATTTTCTCATAGTTTTAGTCACCATTATGGCAACGGCTTCTGTCACTATAATCCAGTCCTTTCAACAAAGTCCCATGGGTGTGAAGGACATTTCTGCTTCAGGGTCCTGTTGTCACTTCTTCCCCCAGCATTTACACAAACAAGTTCTTCATTGTCCTTCCAGATCGGCTTCTCCTTCCAACTTGTTGCTTTCTTCTAAAACCCTCCAAGTCATATTTATGGTTTTATTCTTCATTGCATTTTGCCAAGATTTTCATTAATCTTGTTTTATTTTACACTATAATGGCTCTTGGACCCATCTCTTCTACATCTTACTATCATATCTCAGACCCCCCAACTGCTTCATGTCTGAATGCATCAGCTGCCTCCCGCTGGTCTACCAGCTTCCATCCTCTCTCCTCCCCAGACCATCCTCTTAGCCTCCCCAAAGAACCCATGTTTAATTACGGCACTGAGCCAGTCAAGGATTCACTCAGTCTCACTCTTTCTTTTAAGATCAAGTTTAAACTTCCCACTCTGGGACTGTAGGCCCCTCTCAGTCAGGCATCACCTAAGCCCATCAATCCTATTTTTCACTACCCTCCAGGAAGTGCTTTGTGTTCTAATTCCCCCTCTCCCCTTACTCCTGCCTCTATCAAACATGCCATGTTTATTACACCTCTGTAGTTTTGCTCTGACTATTCCCACACCTGGCATGCCTTCTTTCTGTCTATCTATTCTGTTTTTTGTTTTGTTTTGTTTTTTGTTTTTGTAACAGAGTCTCACTCTGTCACCCAGGCTGGAGTGCAGTGGCGCGATCTTGGCTCGCTGCAACCTCTGCCTCCCAGGTTCAAGCGATTCTCCTGCCTCAGCCTCCCAAGTCGCTGGGATTACAGGTGCCTGCCGCCACACCTGGCTAATTTTTCATATTTTTAGTAGAGACAGGGTTTCACTGTGTTGCCCATGCTGGTCTCAAACTCCTGAGCTCAGGCAATCCACCCACCTCAGCCTCCCAAAGTGCTAGGATTACAGGCCTGAGCCACCGTGCCTGGCCTCCATTCTTGAAGACCTATCTTTTAGCTTCTCTAAGAAGGTGCCTATATATACTCCAACTCATATTCCTGTCTCCATCTTTTAACCTGAGATTGTTATGTTTTTGTAATGACTTCACATATGTCTTATTTTAAAAAATCTCCTTCAGGATAAAGTTTACTGTAACAAATATTTCTGAGCTAGATCAAATTCAAAATACAGTTTAGAGTGTGATGTGAAATGGAAACATTCATTATCTCCTAAAAAACCTGTATGTAGTTATGCAGTTTTGTGATGGAGACAATGCTATGCATTTAACAAATCCTATTGTCTTTCATCCTGGGCGCACAGGAAGATGACATTTCCCAGCCTCCCTTACAGTTAGGTGACAGAGGTCTCGCCAATGACATCTGGGCACAACTGAGGTCCGGTGCCTAAAACCTAAAGCACCAACCACATGGCACTCCATGCTCTCTCTCTCTTCCCTGTCTGCTGCCCTCAGCAAAAGATCTCCTGGAAGAATCAGAGTTTGCAGGGCAGTGATACCCAGTAAAACTTTCTGTGATGATGGCAATGTTCTGCGTCTGCACTGTCCAATATGGCAGACACTAACCACCTGTGGCTGCTGAGCACTTGGAATATAGCTAATACAACTATGGAGCTAAATTTCTAATTGTATTTCATTTGGATAATTTAGATTTAAATAGTCATATGCCCCTAGGGACCACTATATTGGATGATGCAGTCCAAGGGCACAGTGGCACCAATAAATGGAAACAGCTCCAGTCCTCAATGATTTTACAAAGCAGAATCCTCCCCCTTTCCCCCTCAATGATTATACCGAGCTGTTACTTGAGCAAGAAATGACATAATGAAAGCTTAAGAGCTTTTAAGTTGTTTGTTAGAGCAGTTAGCCCACTCTGACAAGTACAATTTTTCTTATAAAGCAAAAGAATCACTATTTTCTGCTACAAATTTTTTTCTATGAATTTCTGGAACCCCATTTTACAAAAATATCCTTGATACATTGAAGAATGAGGAATCCATTTATAAATAATTGTTTTTATTACAAATACTGTTCTGAGAATTATTCTACTTTTACCTTTTTAATATGTGGGAATAAGTATGGTAATCAGATCTACTTTAATGATGTACACACTCATGTTTCCTAGTTATTCGCTCTGTACAGCCAATACCAGCTAGCACCAAGTGTTTTATTTCTGAAACTGACATCTTTGAGCTAAGCAGAAAAGCCTCCATTGAACCAGCTAGTAATTAAAAGTCAATGCAACAAATAGAAAGTTAAATAGATGCTCTGTTTGTTGATTTGCTCATTGTTACTCCCCACTAGAGAGCAGCCAAAGGCTGCCCTGTGCACTGATAGGATGTTATATCTACAACATAAATCATTCCTCCACACCTTCTTGTACTCACTTTGTACTTTCCAAGGTAAGGATGGCGGCCTCCAGTTATTAACATGTCTTCTCCTCGTTCCAGAACACAGCGAACTGCACGACCATGTCTAAAACAGAAAAAAAGCAAGTGAAGTAAACTCTCTTACCTAGTAGGCATTCTCTGGGGTTTATATAACTCCTAGCAAGAGCCTGAGTGAAGCCTACGCGCACCACAGAACAACACAACTACTTCCCACGCCTAGCCTCTGCTGACCTAAGGCGTACACAGTGAGCTTTCCTCCCGTGAGGTCAGGGAGTAGTGCCAGGCATTTGCAACTTGTGGAACGGAGGCTCTCGGGTGCCAGGGGCTCCAGGGCATTGCGTTGGGAGCATTTCCCGTTGCAGTAACAACCTTTATTATAGGCAAATGGTCCCAAGGTCTTATTTTAGACTCACCAGAAATGGAAGAATGCAGGTGCTGTGTAACTACCAAGTGCTCCCTGATGGGAGAGATCTGGAATCAAGGTCTTTTTGCTTCCTGAGATGGAGGAACTGACCCATATTACTCAGCAAACAAATTAAGCCTTCTAGGTGTGCCTGCTCCAGAGACAATTTTCCATGAGAATTTTTTGAGATCCTCAAAGGAAAATGGCTATATAAATGAATGTAAGCATAACAAAAGCAAAGTCTCTATTTAAATCAAGAAAATATACATATACACACATATACATATATACACATATATACACAAATGTATATGTATGTACATACACATATGCGTGTATGTATATGTACATATATGTATATATGTGTGTATATATGGGACCCCATTTTACAAAAATATCTTTGATATATTGAAGAATGTCCATATATACACACAAACATACATATATGTTTATGTGTATGTATATAAACATATATGTGTATATGTATACATAGGTACATGGTTCAAAAAGTCATATATATGACCTCTACATACATAGCTCAGTCCAGCAGGTGCTGAGGACAAGTAACTCCCACCCATTCAGGACCTGTTTCTGCCCACTTTCTAGGTATTATAATATTTTTTCTGTGGCTTTTATTATTTTCAGTAATTGATTCTTATTTTGGTTTCTATAGGACAGTATAAGACAAGTAAGTATAATAAGCTGGCAGCTTGATTGTGTGTTTGTATAGTATATGTGATATTAAATAATCTTGGCCCAGGTTCTTCCTCATTGATTCTGACAGTGAGAACTTTCAGCGTGACTTCATTTTATTTTTAGCAGATTTTCTCCACTTACTTGTTTGCGGCAAATGCAGTGACGGCTGCAAAGACTCCGGTTTTGAACGCCTTGCCTCCAAATGCTCCACCAACACGCTTTACATGGCACATGACCTTGTTAGCTGGGAGCTTCAAGGTGGAGGCAACAATGTCCTGTGAACAATAATAGTTCTGATTAATCTGATCCATCTTCAGCAAGGACTTAACTGTGACTATTATTGTCACATCTATGATCTTAACAAACAAAACTGTCCCCTGAAATGGGAGTGTGACAGCCACTAGATGTTTTGATTCTTTAATGTTGCACATGATACCCACACCGTGTGGTTATGCTAAATAATGGGATAATGTTCAACAACCCTGGCACACAGCCCCACCTGATCTCAGCAATACTTGGCTATGATGACATTGCCAAAACTAATTAGTAGTGTTTTCATTGCCAGTGACATATTTTTGTGCTCATACTTTTTTGTATTTTCCCCATGAACCACACCTAAAGTATTCTATTCACATTAATCCCTAGGCATACGTTTCCTGAAGCCGTGGGATTTTGCAGTCTTCTAAGCCTCACTCAGCATGGGTCTTTTCCCCGCATTCTACTGTCTCTGCTGGAAAATAAGCACTTCTCAGCCAGGTGTGGTGGCTCATGCCTGTAATCCCAGCACTTTGGGAGTCCAAGGCAGGCAGATCACCTGAGGTCAGGAGTTCGAGCCCAGCCCGGCCAACGTGATGAAATCCCATCTCTTTTAAAAATACAAAAAGTAGCTAGGCATGGTAGTGCGTGCCTATAATCCCAGCTACTCAGGAAGCTGAGGCAGGAGAATTGCTTGAACCTGAAAGGCAGAGGTTGCAAGATCGCACCCTGCACTCTAGCCTGGGTGACCAAGCAAGACTCTGTCTCAAAAAAAAAAAAAAAAAAAGCACTTCTCACTTCTTGCTTGGATTGCTGCTAAAGTTGACTAGTTGGTCTTTCCTGGATGCAGATCTCACTCTTTTCTGCCATCCTAATGATTAGGGGTCATTTAGTCTTAATAATTGATTCTTACAGATGTGAAGCCTGAGACGGATGAGGTTACGGACCCAACATCCCACAGGGAGTGAAGAGTAAAGCAGGCCTAGAGCGGAGTTCCTCTGACCCTCCTTAGGATCCTGCCTTTTATGAGGCCTCATTCTCCACAGTCTTACATTCCTACTCTTCTACTAAGAGCACTGGCTCCCTATGACCAGAATCAAGACCCGTCTGCCTCATTTCCCTTACTCTCAACCTGATGCTTAAACCTAGCTTCCCTTAAGGCACCCCTCCATTTCAGCTGGGGTGGTCATTGTGCTGTTCCTCCTTCCTTCCATGCATATGCTGCCTGGGGTACAGGAAACAGGCAACAAATGCTTGCAGAAGAGTTGAGAAAATAAATGAATGGATGTCATTTGATCTTGCTGTGGAATTGCCTGGAAATGACCTCTCTCGTCCTACCATCTAGACAAACCTTACTCTCAATCTGAATTCAAACTTAAGACTTCTTTGTGGGACTTCCTGGATGATTCTAGCCCTCAGCAAGCTCTCCTTTTTCCTAATTTCTCCACGCATGTAAATGTTGCCTTTGCTGATTTAGCACCTGGTTGCATCCTTTTCAATATTGTTTCCTGTTTCATGTGAGTTAGGTACCATAGACTTTGGAGAGCAGGTCTTGCTCTTTCTTCTCCTGTGTTCTTAACAGTGGTTCCAAGAGCTGAGCAAGAGATCTGCTGATTCCATAACTGGTTTTAAAGCTACAATCCACAAACAAAAGGCTCCCACTTTAATAACACTCTTTTAAAAGCATTGAACTCATATGACTATTAATACCCAAATCAATATGGCTATTAGTACTCAATATTTCTTCAGTCCCTGAAGAAATAACATTTTTTGTTTTGTTTTGTTTGTTTTGTGTTAGAGACAGGGTCTCACTGTCTCCCGGGCTGGAGTGCAGTGGGTGATCACAGCTCACTGAAGCCTTGAGCTCCTGGGTTCAAGCAATCTCCCCACCTCAACCTCCCAAATATACTTTCATCTCTAATTGCTCTTGATATATTTCACTGGCCGGAAATCATTTAGCCATGTCCTCTCCACAATGGCCCCATGTTACCTGTATATATTTGGGAAACTGTGTAGACACGTAGACATCCATTTCTTGATCCTCTCCCTTGGGAACAACAAGCATGCTTTGGGTTTCCATATAAAAATGTTCTTGACCTCCCATATGTATTTCACCTGTTACAGGAAGATACATGAAAGTCAAGGAAGCAGTCAGAAGAAACAGGTAGTGTCCCCCAGGTGTCATCCCATTATGCAGAAATTCCACTGACAGTGCTTCTGCTGGGGGAGCAGGCTGCACAGTGAAGTGTAACAAACAATGTTTAGCTTTCAGTCTCCTTGCAGATTTGAAGTAAAGTTCTGTAGGAGAATCTTTTGTGTCTGCCAATATCTAGGTCACAGAGTCCTAGAGAAAGGTATATGACTTTCTAGAACCAAAAGCAGAGGGGTCTTGATTCAGTAGGTCATAAGGAGCCAGCGCTATTAGCAGAGGAGTAGGAATGTGAGAATGTGGAGGCTTCCAGCTCTAGGACAAGTGGGAGTAGATATACTGCTCTCTGTACCTCCTGTTAAGTACAGATAACAACCCTGAGCATTATTTATAAAACAAACATAAGAAGACTCTGAAAGGTGGAGAGAAGGCAGACCAGCTAGGGACTTCAGGACCCAAGGAAAGACACAGCAGTGAGTTCAGTGAGTTTTGTTGTTGTTGTTTGCCTCAGATATCCCAGATTTAGTTCCGCAGAAGCCAGCAATCTAAAAACACCAACAGGCAAAGACACACAAACACACACACACACACACACACACACACACACACAAAATCTTCAAGAAAAGCCACTCTCCCTAACCAAAGGACCAGAAAAGGGGAAGACTAGAAAGCAAAAAACTTAGACAATAAGCACTCTACTCCAGGCAAACATCATAGAAAAAAACTGCAGCCCTACCCCTACTGTAAAGGTTGAGTAGGATATCTATAGTTCCACCCTTGTCAGGCTGCAATGAGGTGTCCCAGCCTCTTTGTTGGGGTGCTGTCAGTGGACGCCACATGGAGAACCCGGACTTACAACCCCTACCTAGCAGTAACAAGGCATCACCCCCTTCTTCCCCATCAGCAAAAGGTTAAAGTAGTCCAGTGAAACAGAATATTATAATAAAATAGAAGATTCAAATAAGATCTAAAGTTTCATTACATAATATCTAAAATGTCTAGGATACAATCAAATATCATTCATACCAGGAACCAAGAAAATCCCAACTTCAATGAGAAAAGACAATCAACAGATGCCAACACTAAGATGACACAAATGTTGGAATTATCTGACAAGGACTTTAAAGCAGCTGTAATAAAAATGCTTTAATAAACAATTACACAAACACTTGAAACAAATGAAAAAATAGAAACCTCAGCAAATAAATAGTATAAAAAGAAAAAACAAATATAAATTTTAGAATTAAGAAATACAGCAAAAATTTCAAAAGTTCAAGGGAGGGCTCAGCAACAGAATAGGGAGAACAGAGGAAATGATTAATGTACAAGAATACAGAACAATAGAAATTGGCCAATCTGAAAAGCAGAAAAAAATAGACTGGAAAAAAATGAACAACACCTCAGGAACCCATTGGCTATAACAAAAGAGCTAACATTTGTGCCATTGAAGTCCCAAGTGGATTTGAAAAATAATGGCTAAAAATTTCCCTAAATTCACAAAAGACACAAATCTACAGATTCAAGAAGCTGAGTGATCCCAAATAGAATAAATTCAAAGAAATACACTCCAAGACACATCATAGTCAAACTTCAGAAAACTAAAGACAAAAGCACTATCTTGAAAACTATGAGAAAGAAACACTACTTCACCTATAGGAGAAAAGCACTTTCGCGGTGAAACCCTGTCTCTACTAAAAATACGAAAATTAGCCAGGCATGGTGGTGGGTGCCTGTAATCCCAGCTACTCAGGAGGCTGAGACAGGAGAGTAGTTTGAATCCGGGAGGCAGAGGTTGCAGTGAGCTGATATCATGCCACTGCACTACAGCCTGGGCGACAGAGTGAGACTCCATCTCAAAAAAAAAAAAAAAAAAAAAAAAAAAAGCACTTCTCACTTCTTGCTT